GCAATAAGGCAAGGAAAGGAAAAAATAAAACTGTCTCATTTTCCAGATGACATGATTGTCTATGTATAACTCCCAAAGAGCCTCCAAAGAAAAGCCTTCTAGAATTAATAAGTGAGTTCAGCAATGTCACCAGATACACAGACAACAAGGCCGGGCGCAGTGGCTCATGCCTGTAATCCCAGCACTTTGGGAGGCCGAGGCGGGTGGATTACTAGGTCAGGAGATCGAGACTATCCTGGCTAACACGGTGAAACCCCGTCTCTACTAAAAATACAAAAAATTTGCCGGGCGTGGTGACAGGCACCTGTAGTCCCAGCTACTTAGGAGGCTGAGGCAGGAGAATGGCGTGAACCCGGGAGGCGTAGGTTGCAGTGAGCTGAGATCGCGCCACTGCACTCCAGCCTGGGCGACAGAGCGAGACTCCACCTCAAAAAAAAAAAAAAAGATATACAGACAACACAAATCAATTGTATTTCTACATACTAACAAAGAATATTTGGCAATTGAAATTAAAAGCATGTGTACCATTTTACAGTTGCTCCCCTAAAAATGAAATATTTAGGAATAAATCTAACAAGACAGATATAAGATCTATATGCTCAAAAGTATAAAAGTTGGGTGAAAGATGATGATGGAGTTAAATCAAAGAAGACTTAATTAAATGGAGTGACATACTGTGTCTATGGATTGAAACACTCAACATAGTAAAAATGTTAACTCTCTCTAAATTTATAAGTTTAGTGCAATTCCTATCAAAATTTCAGCAAGATTTTTTTGTAGATAAGCTTATTCTAAAGTTTGTATGGACAGTTGAAGGAACTAGAATAGCTGAAATTTTAAAAAGAAGAATAAGTGGAAGAAAACACACTGCCTGATTTTAAGGCTTACTCTATAGCTATAGTAATCAAGGCAATGTGGTATTGGTGGAGAGAAAGAATCATAGATCAATGAAACAGAGTAGAGAACCCAGAAACAGACCCACACTAATACACCTGATTGATTTTTGACAGGTGCAAAAGTAATTCAATGGAAGATAAATAGTCTTTTCAACAAATAGTGGGCATCCATAAGCAAAAAATGAGCTGTCACCTAAACCTCGTACCTTTAAAAAATTAATTCAAAATAGATCATAGATTTAAATGTAAAATGTGAAACTAAGAAGAAAAAAAACTTGTAGAATGAAACATAGAAAATCTTTGGAAACTAGGACCAAGTAAAGAGTTCTTATGACATGGCACCAAATGCAAGATTTATAAAAAAAAAATCGATAAATTGGACTTCATCAAAATTAAAATGTTTTGTTTTGTGAAATACCCTGTTAAGATGATCGGAAGATAAACTACTGGAAGGAAATATTTGCGTATCATATACCAGCAGTCCTCATTTTATGTTGTATGGAATTGTAAAAATGTGCACACTGAAACTATGCAAAACAATCTTGATATAATCAAGGGAAAAATTATGATTGTTCCATGATCCTTAAACTGTTTTGCCAGATATTAAAACTACTACATTGCTATTGGTTTTAAGTGTATATAGAAATGGAAAAGCAATACTAATATTTATTTAGTACACTGTAATTTAAAACTTTTAGAATTATGCCGGGCGCAATGGCTCACACCTGCAATCCTAGCACTTTGGGAGGATAACTTGATTCTAGGAGTTTGAGACTAGCCTGGGCAACATAGCCCAGAAATGGTCTATGTTTTCTACAAATAAAAAAAGTATTTTTCTACAAAAAAAAAAAAATTCTTTTTTTTTCTTTCTTTCTTTCTTTCTTTCTTTCTTTTTTCTTTTTAGACAGGGTCTCTGTCACCCAGGTTGGAGTGCAATGGCAGGATTACAGCTCAAGTGATCCTCCCACCTCAGCCTCCCGGCTGGCTGGGACTACAGGTGTGTGCCACCATGCCACACCAAAAATACAATTTTTTTTTTTTTTGAGACAGAGTCTTGCTCTGTCACCCACACAGGAGTACAGTGGTGTGATCTTGGCTCACTGCAGCCTCTGCCTCCCAGGTTCAAGTGATTCTTCTGCCCCAGCCTCCCAAGTTACAGATGTGTGCCACCATGCCTGGCTCATTTTTGTATTTTTATTAGAGAAGGGGTTTCATCTTCTTTCTAGTTTCACCTTCTCTAGTTGGCTAGACTGTTGAACTCCTAGCCTCAAGTGATTCGCCTGCCTTGACCCCCCAAAGTGCTGAGATTACAGGCATGAGCCATTGCGCCTGGCCAAAAAATTCAAATAATTTTTGTGTTTTTTGTAGGTATGGGTTTTCGCCATGTTGCCCAGGCTGGTCTCGAACTCCTGTCTCAAGCGATCCACCCACCTCAGCCTCCCAGAGTGCTGACATTACAGATGTGGGCCACCACACCCAGCCAATTTTTTAGTTTTCTGTGTGACTTGTGCCCGTAGTCCACTCAGGCTGAGGTGGGAGGATCACTTGAGTCCAGGAGGGTGAGACTGCAGTGAGCTGTGATTGTACCATCGCACTTCAACCTGAGCAATAGAGCGAGACCCTGACTCCAAAAAAAAATATGACATAGAACAAGCATCTTTTCTCTCTTGGCTAATTATCATACTTCTTTCTAAGTATGGATGAGCCTCCAACATTTCACCCTTTGTACTTTCAATGTTGTGAAATTTCTCAGAGAGTTCCTGTAATGTGAAGTTTTTTGCCAGTCTCATTTCATCCTTTTTATCACTTTCCTAATTTGTGTCTGTAAGTTTGCCTTTGCTAAGTTCCTCTGTCTGCACATCTAGAGCTTATCAAACAGTGGCAGTGTTAACATTCCCACCGTCAACCATCTCTTCTATAACTCCATGTACATTCAATTCAAATTTCATTGCCAAAGTTACCACCTTTCATTTATTTGCACTTTCATCTTTGCTGGCCAGTTCTCTTTTTTAAAAAACAGAATTTAAACAATGTAAGTACAGATGGAGTCTCGTGTATTGCCCAGGCTGGTCTGGAACGCCTGAGCTCAAGTTGTCCACCTGCCTTGGCCTCCCAATGTTCTGGAATTACAGGCATGAGCCACGGTATATATAACATTTTTTAAATGCCAGAATTATAAAGATGGAGAACAAATTAGTGACAACCAGGGCACAGGGACATAAGAGAATAGAATGGGAGGATAAAGTATAGCTATAAAGGAGTAGCACATAGTAGATTATGTGATTGTGGTGGGACAGTTCTCTAGCATGATTGTTCTGGTAGTTATACAAGTCTACATCTCAGGTAAAATTACATAGAATGACACACACACACACATACATGTAAATGAGTACGTGTAAAAACTGGTGAAATCTGAACAAGGTGTTTAGTTAACAGTATGGTACCTGTGTCCTTTTCTTACTTTTGACATTGTAATATCTTTATGTAAAATGTTAACATTGAGGGAAGCTGGACGAAGGGTACATGACAGTCTCTATACTATTTTTGTTATTTCCTGGGAATTTATAATTATTTCAAAGTAAAAGGTTTTTTTTTGTTTTGTTTTGTTTTTTTGAGATGGAGTCTTGCTCTGTCGCTCAGGCTGGAATGCAGTGGCGCAATCTCGGCTCACTGCAGCTTCCACCTCCTGGGTTCAAGCGATTCTCCTGCCTCAGCCTCCTGAGTCACTGGGATTACAGGTGCCCGCCACCATGCCCAGCTAAGTTTTGTATTTTTAGTAGAGATGGGGTTTTACAATATTGGTCAGGCTGGTCTGGAACTCCTGACGTCATGGTCTGTCTGCCTCAGCCTACCAAAGTGCTGGGATTATAGGCATGAGCCACTGTGCCTGGCCAAAAAGTTTTTTTTTAAGGCCTTCTTGAGAGTCAGGCACACATAGTTTTTGTGAGACAGATGTCACTAGTTTCTTATTGTGCTCACTTGCCTATCATCTCACAGCTCTGGAAAGTGACTCAGCCTTCCCAGACCTCTTTGCTTGGCTTTGGCAGCCATCCAGAGACCTCTAGCTGGGTGCAGGGAGAGCATCTCATGTTGTTTTAGCCCAGAGAATCAGGATGTGGCGCCCCATGGATGTGATTGCTCCGCTAGGAGCTTGGTCTTTTTTAAGAGAGGCTGATTCATTTCTTTGGTTGGTGTTTCTATGGAGTGCTTATAACTGGGGAGAAAAACCCATAGGTAATAGATGAGCAATTTGGAGCTGACAGCTGTTCATCATCTGGCTTTTTATAAATATCTGCGCCTTTTAATTTTTCTTGGAAGACAGATACATAAACCACCGTGACTTTTCAGACTCTCTTTATAGGCACTATCCTCTCAAATTGGGAAGAAAACAGTATAAAATGTTTAATTAAAGTCTTTTATTCACCTCTAATGTAACTTCGTTTTAAAATTTTTATATGTGAGTGGGGTGGGGAGGGATTGAGAGAAAATTGTTCGAGATTCGAGTATAGTACATATAGTAATTTAGCCATATCAAACAGTTGAACAAATTGTACACCTGTGGTTAGATTGACAGTAATGACAGTGATTTAATTTTCATCAGCAAATTGCTCCTGCTCTGACAGCTCTTACCCATAGTTTTCTATGTCCAAGTTTCCCTAAAATGTTGTCGGGTTGGGTAGGGCAAGGCCAAGATAGTCTATGCTTGTGAAAAGTGGAGAAGCAGGGTGTGGGTTATTCTACCTTAGGTCTCAGCTGTTTCATGTGCGGTTTGGGGTTGAAGATGAACTTGCATTACTTCCCCTTAACTCAGTGGTTGTGACAAGAAGCCTTTCTATTCTTCCTGAACATTGGAAATCGGACTTGAATAAGTGAACCTTGGAACATCTTGAGTGTGTTTTTAGAGCAGAGGCCTATATAGGTAGACTTTGAGGGCTCTCTTCTCTGGGCATCTTAGAAAGTGTTAGTATTTTTGATAGTGTAGATTAAAGAACACTGTGAGTCTTGGAACAGCAGTTTTTTGGGGATGGGCATCCATGGTAGACCACAGACATCTTGGGGAGATGTCTCCAACCATTTTAATCATCTCTTTGCTGCTCTCCTTAGGCAAGGCAGGTTGAGGTAAAGCGGCTCTTCCGCCCCATTGAGGAACTGAAGAAAGACTTTGATGAGCTGAATGTTGTCATTGAGACTGACATGCAGATCATGGTACGGCTGATCAACAAGTTCAATAGTTCCAGCTCCAGTTTGGAAGAGAAGATTGCTGCGCTCTTTGATCTTGAATATTATGTCCATCAGGTACTGTATTTCTTCATCCATAAGTCAGACTTTTAACAGCTCCAAAAATAAATCCCCCCTCCCTAAGCCCTAAGAAAATAGCATCAGCATCTTTAGTTCTCTCCCAGAGCACAGACTATTTTTAATCTAGGCTTATTGTCTTTCGTAGTAAGATACAGTCTTAGAGGCTAGAGCCAACCTCTTTTTCTTTTTTTGTCTGAGTCGGAGTCTCACTCGGTCGCCCAGCCTGGAGTTCAGTGGCACAATCTCGGCTCACTGCAACCTCCACCTCCTGGGTTCAAGCTATTCTCCTGCCTCAGCCTTCCAAGCAACTGGGATTACAGGTGTGCACCACCATGCCCAGCTAATTTTTTGTATTTTTGATAGAGACAGGGTTTCACTATGTTGACCAGGCTGGTCTTGAACTCCTAACCTCAAGTGATCCACCCACCTTGTCCTCCCAAAGTGCTGGGATTATAGGTATGAGCCACCATGCCTGGCCAGCCAACCTCTTTTTCATGTGGAGTGTTACCTTCTTTAGTACCTCTGAGGGTACTGCAGAGATAAAATAGACATAGTCCTTGTTATGTAGCGTATAGCCTGGAAGAGGAAGTAACTGAATAATGAACAATTGAACAAATTAGTTAAATAATATAATTTAAGATTGTAATGAGGGCTCCAGAGGGTGATGTCTTAGAGCCTAGTCATGGACAATAAAGGAGGCTTCTCAGAGGATGTGACATTTAGGCCGAGTGTTATAGGATGATTGGGGTTGGCCGGGTGAAGAGGGGGTACTAGAGCAGGAGATGGCAAACTACTGCCCATAGGTCAAATCTGGCCCAACACCTCCTTTCCTAAATAAACTTTTATTGGGGTACAGGGACCCCTATTTATTCATGCATTGTTTATTGCTATTTTTATGCTACAATGGCAGAATTGAGTAGTTGTGACAGAGACCATATGGCTCACAAAGTCAAAAATATTTACTACCAGGCCCTTTAGAAAAAGTTTGCCAACCCTTAGATTAGAGCGTTCCAGCTAGAGGAAACAACATGTGCAGAGATTCTAGGGCAGGGAAGAGCTTGGTGAGATTGAGGGCCTGGAAAAGATTGGAGTGACTGGAGCACATGGCCTGGAGGGGAACACAGATGAAGTGGGAAGGTTTGGGGGTTGGAGAGGTGAGGTTGGAGATACCATGCTCTTTATGACTTTAGCCTTGATCCTAAGAACCATTGAAGAGTTTGAAGCAGGGAAGCAGCTGATCAGACTTATAATAACTAATATTTGTTGAGTGTTATTACATATCAGGCACTGCTTCAGGTGCTCTGTACACATTAATTCATTGACTTCCGTGGCTTCCCTATGAGTATGTACCACTATTAATCCCATTTTGTAACCGAGGAAAATGAGGCACAGAGAGATTATGTAATTGCTCAAGATCATCCAGCCTAGTGAGTGGTAGAGCTGAAATTTGCAGTAAGCTCTGTCTGACCCTAAACTCTGTGCTCTAAAACTTTTGGCCACTCTGTTTCTCAAAGGCAACTAGTACCTTTTGAATTAAGCTCAAAAGGTGGAGCTAACGAGGAGCCAATAAAAGCCACTGATTTATTCAATAAATAAATAAAGTGTCTGCTAACTCCCAGGCACTGTTCTAGGCACTTGAGATACGTCTGTGAACAAAATTAGGGCTTAACCTTCTAGCAGAAGCAGATAGACAAACATAAGAAAGAAGTAATTATAAGTAATATGTTTGTAGGTGATAAATATTGTAGAAATATAAAAACTACGGTGAGATTGGAACTGGCAGCATTGAGAAGGGGCATCTCTGGCTGGAGGAACAGCAAGTGCAGGAGCCCGGTGGTGGGAACATGCCTAGCGTGTTTGAATCAGCTGGAGCTGAGAGTGGGCAGAGGAGAAGTAGATGGAGCTCAGAGAGATAATGGGAGGAAGAATATAGAGGGCCTGTAGGCCATGGAAAAAAGTGAACTTGGATATTATTGAAGGATATTGAGCAGAAGAATGACGTGATGTGACTGACTTTTAAAAGGATTCCTCCAGCTGCTGTGTTGAGAATTAGACTGCAGGTGGGGGGCTTGGTAGAAGCAGAGACCATATAGGAGGCTATTGCAGTAATCCAGACTAGGGACAACAGTGGCCCAGGAGGCTGTGTAATCATAATCAAAGGCTTGTTTGAGATCCTTGTCAAGACATAGATCCTCAATGTCCTCCCATGCACGACAGCACCCTTGTTCTCTATAAACTGGGCTAAAACACATGCTTTCTTCCTTTAGGATTTTGCCAGCGTCTGTGGTGAAAGAGGATGAGTATGCACTGTGTCCGTAGGAATTATGGGGCAGCTTCTTCATCTTCTTTCTCTGCTCATAACTCTCAGGCCTCAAATAGCAGGACTCTGATCCTCTTAGAGAAAAAAAAATGAACCTCGGTTCTCATTCCCCTTGCCAGTCTTACTCTCCAGGGTAAAAACCAAAAATTCCAACAGCTTTTCCATTAGAGATATTTAAAGGATTAAGGATACAAGGGGTTATTTGCCAACTCAGTCCTCCTTTGATGTTGACAGCTTCTATTTTTTCTCATCTTAACATATTGGGATGAATCTTTAGGTATCAGGTCACCATGGGCTCTTGCACATGAAACACCAAAATGACCAGAGAGCTTATCATACCTGGAAGGGCGTGAGTCCACAGGAGGCTTGGGCTAGCATTGCCCCAACAAATTTTTTTGTTTTCCCTTGTAGGCCCTTTGTCACTTGGCAGTGTCTTCCCTAAGGTGACATCCCCATTCTGCTTTCACAGGCCACCTCACCAGACCCATCTTAAGGTCATCCCAAAATCAGTCCCTGGCAGAAGCCAAATTTGTCTTTTGGCAGAGAAATGTTCTGGATCATTGGTATTTTGATTGGAAGGGCTGGTGCATCAAGCTGCCATGCAGCGGTGTTAAGCTGTGGTTTCACTGGGGGATTAAGTAGGACACAACTCAGTCCAAGTCCTGGTTGTGATGGGGGCTTGGGGTGATGTAGTACTGGCTTTAAGGAAGATGGCACTTTCCTAGCCAGGAACTTCCCCAGTCCCTTCTCATTCTAGACTCACTGAATGGTGGTTTGAGGAGCTGTAGGCTCCAAGGACCGAAACCAGGTCTGCCAGGCTTCCTCGCAGCCATATTTGAATTATTAAACGGGATATGTGAAAAGCAAAACCTTGTGTGTGGAAAACAGATGGTGAGTTATTTATGAGGAGCAGCCTCCATCCACCCCATCTACCTGGGGCAGTATATTTGCCTTCTCCCACGTGTCTCCTCAGCTATGTGCCACCATTTCTCCCCTTTGCTGTTTCCTATTCTCTCATTGTCTTGTCAGTGCCCTGCTTCTTTCCTTTCCTCCAGGGTGTTGACATAGTTCCCTCCTGCACTCCCTCCTCCTCTTCATCTCTGCCTGTCCCACCCTACCCCGAAGGCAGCCTGAGAACAGTTTTGGCCCCAGACCCAGATGGGAAGCTGTAGACCTGGGCTGTGGTCATGGTTTCTCCTATATGTCACCAGGGAGGGTCCAGCTTTTGATGTGCCCTGGGCAGAATGAATCGTTTCTTCCTCACTGTTAGTGAAATAAATCATGAGAAAACATCCCCAAAAGGCTGAAGTGCTTATATAAATGTCGGCATTTCTATCATGCTGAATTATCATTGTAGTAATAATAGATAAACTGACTCTAGAACAGAAGGTCCGTGACTCTGGGCTGTGTTGCTTTGGAGCTGACCGAGTGGCAGCTGCTCCGCTAGGAACTCATACCAGCTTTGATAAGTGGCCATTCCAGGCATGGTATGACAGGATTCTGAGCCATAGTTTTGTATCCAGAAAACCCAGAGGAAGGACAACCAAATAATAGGCAGTGAATTCTTATATTGTAAAATCAGAGCATGTGGGGAAGGAAGGAAGGTGCTTATGTCAGCAAAACACCCAGCCCCGAGTCTCCCTAGTTAGCTGGGCTGTGGCTCAACCAGTTATTCCTGTTCATAAGAACAGTTTGGGGCAGAAAAATGGCCATGGCCTGGGGCCACATGGCAGGGCAGACTTCATGCTTACTTCACAACCTGGTTTAGCCATTACTTCATGTCTGTGGTACCAGAGGCCCGTTCATTTTGTTGGCACAGATACCCCAGATTGCCTTTTTATTCACACTGGAGCTTTATTTCAGGAACATTCTTTTCTGATCAAATTCATACTCATCAATGCAACAGTTATTCATTGAGCACCTAACCATATGCTCAGCACCGTCCTAGTCCCTGGAGCTACAAGCGTGGACAGACAGACAAAACCCCTGCTCTCATGGAGATGCCATCCAAATGTGTATGAATGATCTTTCAAGTGGCAACAACAGGCTAGGCCACCACAAAACACTAGCAGAGTCAAATACCAATCCTCACACTTGATTTCCCTGTCAGAGCCCTCTCCTAGTTCAGAGAGGCAAGGACGCGGTTGGGAAGGGGCCTTGTGGAATCTGGAGGAGAAAAATGGGTAGCAGCCACTGTTGTTGGGCTTCAGCTTCCTGAGTTTTCCTCATGATTGATAGAGTGGGATTAGCATGTGGGCAAGATGCAACCTTTGTGGCAGCAAAGATATATTCAAGGGAGACTGTAGCGGGTACATGTGGAAACAGGATCCAAGGGAGACTGTAGCGGGTACATGTAGAAACAGGATCCAGTGACCTTTCTGAGGAAAGCGAGTCGTCTTGTTCTAGGTACTAATAAACCGTGGGTAATGAGATCCCCTGTAGAGGAAAAGAGAGAATCTGGAGTTGGGGATTTGGTGCTTAAATGATAGCCTAGACCAGTGCTGCTGAATAGAACTTTATGTAATGATAGAAATGTTCTGCACTGTCTGATACATAGCCACTAGCCAGTAGCACAGGCTTAGACGAAAGCCTTTGGGAGAGTGATTTTCTTGCATATTTTATGATGAATGTCTTCAGATGCAGTCAACCTGAGATGCAAGAGAAAGGTACTTTTGTTATTCCCCTCCCCAGCACTCTTACAGCAACCCCCGTCCCAACAACAGGGCTCCTTTTCTAGTCCCTAGCTTCTAATTTAAAATCAGCTTAAAAAATCTGCCTCCACCGTCCCCATTGGGATTGGACATCAACAGGAAGCATGGCACCGTTTAGTGGTGCTGATGACGCCAGATTCTTTGTGTTAACAGCTTGTACATTAGGAGTAAGCTTTATGACTCATTACGATATTAGAATTTTCCATTACATGTTTGGCATAAGCAATAGCTAGGTGTCATTTCCGCTGATTCCCACGCAGGTGCTCATCAATCATGTTAGATGAATTAGGAGTTCTCAAATTTAACAGTATTAAAAAATTGGTTTTTACAAGCCTTTTCTTAGTTAGTCAAAAAGGCCATTTTTGCTTTTTCCATGGCTTTTTAATTTGTTTTTGAATAGTCACCAAAAGAAAGGCTCTAAGAAGAGCTTTCCTTTCCCTGATGGCTATGCTGTACTAAGCAGTGGCTCTGTTGCAGATGGACAATGCGCAGGACCTGCTTTCCTTTGGTGGTCTTCAAGTGGTGATCAATGGGCTGAACAGCACAGAGCCCCTCGTGAAGGAATATGCTGCGTTTGTGCTGGGGGCTGCCTTTTCCAGGTGAGCAGTGTAATGGACATCCCATTGGCCAGAATTGCTTGGCCTGATCTGCTTGGAAGAAGGGTACACTAGAATGTGCCTGTTTCTACTGACATTTCAGTGTAATCTCAATGAAACTAGAGTAAAATTTGATTCTGCCCTTATTCCAAGTAGATAGGAATTTTTACCCATGTTGTCACCATCTGTTACTCTCTGTTCCCCCATCTTATGTATATGGACATTTAATAACACATCTTAGGTCACATTCTCCGTTTTATTCAAAGCTCATAAAAAGTTAGACCAACTATAAATAGTAGAGAGGGAGGGGGATAAACAAGAGTAGATAGAGTAGATCTTTTGGCAGTAAAGCTACATCTAGTAATGATAAATGATGAGCCTGAACAAGGGGGTGCTTTCAGGGAGGAATGTGTCTTGCCCTAGTTGTCTGGAACCAATGTACATGTGGTCAGGTTATCGCACTCTCTAGGTTGGGAATTGTTGAGAATTTCAGTTAGTCTGGCTTGTGATGGAAGACTGATAAGGCAAGAGGAGTGGGGAGGTAGCATCTCAAAAGAGTAGATGCCAAAAGATATGTAGGTACCACATCATTCTACACCGCCTGCAAAGGTCAAGATGTCTGCATGCTGCGATTGGCTGTTGGAGCTATTGTTCCTCCCAGTTTTGAAAATCTGCTTTTAGGACCATTTGTGCCTTTAAAACAGGAACAAATATTCCGATTCTTGCTGCAAGGGCATGGGTGGAGGCTATTAGATGCTTAGATGCAGGTCACGATGTTACAGGAGAAAAGCTATTCTGAACATATTTACCATTATAGGCTTTGTTTCTAAAAGATTTCCTTTGTGCTTTATCTGTGCTTGTTTTTTAAATCAGAATTTCAGTCTGATGCTCTCTCACTCTGACAGGAATTCAGCATATTTTCTTAGTAAGTTGAAGGGCAGAGCTGGGAAAGCTGGAGGAGTTGTTCCGTGAGGAGAGGCACTGCCGGCCTTTGTTTCTCTTATCACCACTCTGCCTGGATCTTCAAGCCCGGGCTCCCTGTGTTGGTGGTGTTGACAGTCAAGGCTCTGGCCTCCAGGGCAACTCCACCTCCCTTGGTCTCACCTCCCAGAGCCAGAGTCTCCCAGGAAGCCCAGGGAAATCTCCTGTGCAGCCACTGGAAAGATGGAAAATCTGCATATTTGATGTTAGTAGCTGCGGTTTCAGTCATGAGGAAGTCCAGGAAATCCAGGGTCTTAGCCTTATAAGACTTTAGAGACTTGAGAACTTACTAAAGCTCACTTTTTATTTCTCAGGCCAGAAAAGAACTAAATCCAACATTATTAACCTCTCTCCAGACCCTTTTTGGAAATCTTTGCCTTACTCCCGAGTACTTTTATTCTACCTTTAATATTAACAAATTATCCTATATGTCCCTTGCCATTGCTTCTGGAAATACATTTCTTGGGGGGAAACTGTGTAGCATATTCATGTCATATCCTAGTTAAAGGGGACTAGTTAAGTGACTTGAGAAACATGCATTGGGCTTGCTTTGCAGACCCGTAACTCACCAAGGGACTGTGCCAATGTGTGGTGTTATTAAGACTTTTCTGTGATTGTATTAGCTTAAGACCATGTTAACATTTATGCAGCATCAACTAAAATTTAAATAGAGATAAATATAAAATTTTGCAATTTAGTGTTTTGGTGGCAAGCAAACTGCTGTATTCAGAATGTTCTAGCTGGGTTTTTGATGGCTCACTGGAGGGCTGTTACCGTGACAGCACGGTATGGAGCCAGAGCTTTTGGAAGCCAACAGCAGGCTCCCAAACACTGTGGAAATGTCAATGTTTTCTGCAAAGAGGAACCTGATGTAAGGTAAGGATATTTCTACATGGAGAGGTAGGTTTCAGTACTCTAGTCTGATATTCATCATTTACTCTTCATGTCTTAAGTATTGGCTCTGCATCTCTCTAACCACTTCTAGTATACAGGTGTGTATACACCTGCCACACATGTGCACAAACACACAACACAGTGATGGGATGAGCTTGCTGTTTATCAAGAGGGTGTTCAGCGGGTAGTGAGCACTCTGGAATCATGGACTCCCAGCACTGGGGATAGTATCTGGAAGATACTCTTTCTAGTTTTCTGCTGATGGGCAAGAATACTGCTAAGTGAGTCCAGATGTTTGGGTATTTAGGAGGATTAGGCAGACCACTGGACCTACAGTCAATCTAGTTTCAAGTTTAGTTTCTGCCATTTCCTATCTGTGTGCCCATGGGCAACCTTTCTAAGCCTCATCTTTTTCTTTTGTTAACAGGGAACATTAATAGATGTTCTCTGCATTTCATAAAGTTGAGTGAGTGTCAAATAATATACAATGACTTGTGAAAATAGTTGTAAAGCACCTGTCAATGACAAGGTGGTATCAACATCATCCCCCTCATCGGGATGTGTCCTTTATACTATGAGTTTCTGCTATAGAAATTCTTATTTCTTCTCTTTCTACAATAAAAACTTTTATCCTTCTCATTTTCTCTTCTGTTAAGATGCTTATATTCTACCATGTATCTCTTGGTGCTAATCTTTTTTTTTTTTTTGAGGCAGGGTCTCATGCTTTCGCTCAGGCTGGAGTACAGTGGCCCGATCTCGGCTCACTGCAACCTCCGCCTCCTGGGCTCAGGTGATCCTTCCACCTCAGCCACCTCTGTAGCTGGGACTACAGGTATGCAGCACCACACCTGGCTAATTTTTATAATTTTTGTAGAGACAAGGTTTCACCATGTTGTCCAGGCCAGTCTCGAACTCCTGGGCTCAAGCAATCTGTCTGTGTTGGCCTCCCAAAGTACTGGGCTTACAGGCGTGAGCCACTGTGTCCGGTCTCTTATTGCTAATCTGCTGCTTTATTGAGGCTATTTATTTGCCTGCTTGGGTTAATTGCTTAATAAGGTTTCCATATACATTTGTGTGGATGAAGAGATCTATTTCCTGGTGTTAAACATGAAGCAATTATTCCGAGATCAAGAAGAGAGAGTTCATGTAAATGTAACTGACATGACTCCTAAATGTTACATGGTCACTGAAATGAAGTTTATTTAAATATTATTCACACTTATATATGGGTCACACACGTTCATCTTCCTCTGTTTGTTGCACACATATAAGTCAGATCAAGCTCTTACATAATAAGATACACAGGGGTAGGGGTGCTGGTGCTTTTAGCAGCTTTATCTTTTTATGGTTTTTCTTTTGTCTCAAACCTGCTTTCTCCTTCTTCAAGTAAAGTACTTTCATTGGCCTTTCTGTGATGTGATTTAATCTCATGATGGCACTTGTGTGTGTCTGTCTGCAGTCTGACCTACCAGGAGTCTCTGGAGTTCCAGACAAGTCATTTGTGTTTCTGTGTAAGGGGAGTCTCGAAAAGGCTTTGTGAAATTTAGAGGCCAGGCAGCCTTCTGTAATCTGGTTTTGGTTCTTAGCAAACTGGCCGCCTGCTTTTGTTTTCCTCTTAGTTGCCTATATATCTCTTTTACCTCATAGCTGTCGGGAGTTAAACTATCAAGTAACTAGTATGCTTGCCTCATGTAACACTGGCTTTGCTGTTCTTATGCCCCTGCCTCAGTCACCTGTGGAGTCCTATATCCTTCTTTAATAACCCATATTCTCATCTGCACATGTATGAATTATTATGCAATTACATGGGCTTATAAGCATTCACGTTTGCAGGACTTTTGAACTTTCCACAGTTTGCAGGATGTCATGGAACTGAAACCAGCACAAAAAGGATGTACATGTGCCATTAGTCATAGTGAGATTATGTACTCTTACAATGGATCCCCAGAACAGGATTCTGTTCTTCCCCCTTTATCCTTGGCATCTTCCTTGGAACCTCCTTGGCAGATGTTGGGTTATATATATCCCTTTATAAAATGAATGTGTTCCCCTCCCCCAACCTTGTCCCCTCTCATCTCATGCTTTGTTGGCTCTCTTAATTTCCTCAGTTGTACTCTTCCTGCTGAGCGTTTACCAATTAATTTTAACTATTTGGACCTGGGTGCGATGGCTTACGCCCATAATCCCAGCACTTTGGGAGGCCGAGGCAGGTGGATTGCTTGAGCCAGGGTTCAAGACCAACCTGGGCAACATGGTGAAACCTTGTCTCTACAAAAAATACAAAAATTAGCTGGGCATGGTAGCATGTGCCTGTGGTCCCAGCTGTGCTACTCGGGAGGCTGAGGTGGGAGGATTGCTTGAACTTAGAAAGTCAAGGCTGCAGTGAGCCATGATCATACCATTGTACTTCAACCTAGGTGACCAAGTGAGGCCCTGTCGGGAAAAAAAAAAAGAGTAGACAGAAAGGAATACAAATGAATGCACATGAGCATTAAATTAATGTACTTGAAACTACTATTCCTACAACCTGGTTTCTGTCCGTACCATCCCTGAAATTTTTCAAGAGTACTTTGTCATCATTGGCATCTTTGTGGTAGTCAAAATGTTGGCCGCCGCTTACCTTAGGGAACTTTACCTCTTGGCTGCCATGTCATTATGGTCCCTTGGTTTGGGGATGACTGTAATTAATCACTCACTCCCCTTTTCCTTTTTTGGCAACATCATCATCTTAACTATCTTCTGTTAATAATTGTAGCTATTCACAAAGATTCCTCCAGCCTTGTCCTCCTTCTCTCTTTTCATTTTCTCCTGTAATGGTCCTATCTATTCCTGTGATTAAAAATCCAACCTCACTGTGGATGACTCCAGTGTCTACATTTAAGTCCAGCCTTTTTCCTGTGGTCTTCTCCTACATTTCTACCACACTGTCTCATTGCACCTCAGACTCAAGAAAGTGGAACTCATTATTGTCTCACAAACTAGATTTTTCCTCCCACATTCTCTTTTTATCTGTTCTTGGCATTGTGATTATTGTAGTTCTCCAAGCTTGAAACTTTTGAGTGATATTTGAGTCTACTTCCTGCTTCACTTTCTCATTAACTTGGTGAACAAGTCCTGTGAATGTTAAT